GGGCCAGGACCGACGAGGCCGCCCCCGCGCGAGGGGCCTTCGGGGCAGAGCACCACAGCACCGCCAGGACCTCCCCGAGCCTGCTCCTGCCCCGGCCCTCTGACCCCGCCGACCAAGCCATCACCCACTTCACCTGCGCCCTGCTGTCCGAGCGGGGGGCGTGGATGGCTGGGCCACGCAGGGGGCCCAGGCGCTCCCAGATGGGGCCGCGCGCTTGTTCGCCGAAGCGCTGAGAGCCACGCGCCGCGCAGAGAGAGCGCGGGAACCGCTCCTCGCGCCCCCGGACCGCGCCTCCGCAGAGGCAGGAGAGAGCTGCCCACGGACTGACGCCCCCGCTCCGCCATGTCCATGTGGATGCACGAATGGGGGGCGCCAGCCCACCGCAGCCTCACGCCGTAGCGAGCCCGCTGGGCCCGCCCGGGCAGCTTCGGTGCAGCCCCGCGCGCTGCCATCAGCGGCGTCGGCACGACGCTCGCCACGCGGGCGAAGCACGCCCGACACCTGAACGAGCCGCTCGCGGGGGCGTCGCCCGACAGACACACATGTTTCGACCACCCCGCGACGGGCGCGCGCCTCAACCTCGCGCTCCACGCGGGGGAGGGGGGCACCTGGCATCGCCCAAGTCAGGGGGACGTTCTACGCCAACCACCGACGATGCATCGCATGGGCGGAGCCTGCTCAAAGCCCCTGGCGCGCACCAGCGGCCACCGACAGGGCGGCCCCTGCTCGCTGGACGATATCGGACCCATCGCGCGCGCATGGGCCGAACGACGGCGCAGGCGCGCGCCGCGCCCCAGCGGCGCCGCGTTCGTCGCCGACGGCAACTCCATCGGCCCCGCGGCAAGTGAACTTTACGCCTTGCTGGAGGCCGCCAGCTTGCTCGACCGCCTCATGTCCGCGCAGAGCGGCGGGATTGGCAGTCAACGAAAAGATTCGCCACCGGGTGGAGGCCCTTGACCTCGGCCGCCGACCCCCCGAAGCTCGCCGCAGGGTGGAGCTCGCTGGGAATTGCGTCGCCGATGCGCCGGCGGCCGAGGGCCCGGACCCCCCCCCCCGGCCACCGCGGGTGCCCGCGGGAGAGCCCGCTCCGTCGAGCCCTCGGCGGCGCTCACGCGCGCGGCTGGCGCTGGCACCCGAGCGCCCGGCGCCAAACTTCAAAAAGGGCCACTGCAACAGGCGCCGTTCGCCGCCCTTCGCCGCCGAGGGCGACCATGGACATCTCGGCGGGCCGCGCGCGCCCTCGCCGCCCCGGGCCATGCCCTGGAACCCGAGGCCATCGCGCAGCGCGAGGCCCTCCTCGGGCTGGTCAGGCCGACGCGCACGGGGCACTCGTCTGCACGCCGACGCGGGAGCGGCCCTTGGCCGCGCGCACGCTGCCCACATGGCGCGGCCCCGTAGGCAGAGTCTCGCGCGTCAGCGCCCAACTTGACTACCTACCAGACCACCTCAACCCAACCCGAAGACCCGAATTTGACCCGAATTTCGGGTTGGGGGGGGGATACGGGTTCCATGTGCTTTTTCAACGTTTCCCGACCCCCACCCCCACTGGAAATGGAGGGCAAATTGAGGCCTTCGGGTTGGGTTGGGGGGGTCTGGTAGGTGGTGACAACTGGAGTGGGGCTGGCCAACTTGCGGCGCGCGGCGCAGCGACTGGGGCGCGCGCATCTCGTGGCCGAGCCCTCGGACCGGGGCGTTCACGCAAGATCGCAGAGGCGCGCCCTCCTCCGAGCCCCCGCCGCCGGAGGCGACCTCGGCGCGGTGGCGGCCGTCGAGCATGGCCTTGACTGCTTCCGCAACGCCCTGCTCCAGAGAGCCAACGGCATCGCCCAGTGCACGGCACGGCGTGGCAGCTCGGTGTCCCGTGAAACCACCCCTGCGGGCGCGACCGCGCGCTGCGAGGACAAGCATGGGCTGGCGTCTCGGCCGACCGCCCCCACTGCGGCGGTGGCACAATCGAGGAGAGGGGGCGCGGGGGCACGCCGCCGGGGGGCGCCCGCCCTCTGCTGACGAAAAGTATGGCCCTGGCCACCATGATCTCGGAAGCTCAGTGGAGAGACCTCCCGCGGCTGGCCCGGCGTCGTGGGCTCCGCGACGAGGGCGCTCGCCCGTGACGAACTCCCGCAGCCCATCCCCAGACCGGCGCCCGAAGGCCAGGATGAGGACCGCTTTGAAGAACGCGCCGGCCCATCCACGGGGGCCAGGTGGGCCTGCACAGCTGCCGACGGCGCGTGCTCGCACCACGCACATCACTTCCTTGCCGAAGGCCGGGTCCGGCGTGCATTGCGGACGAGGCACAGGCTGAGCCACTCCGCCCGAGTCCACGGCCTTGCAGAGTCAGCACAGGCACAACGCGCTGAAATCCCCGCGCTCCTGCACTTCACCGCCGCGGCTGAGAGACGCATCCGCGACGTCGTCGACAACCAAGCCGTCGTCGACACGTTCGAGGTTCACCTCGACGGACCCCCCCTCCCCGCAAGCCACAGGCTCGCAGGCCGACCTCTGGCATCGAATCCACCGAGTGGTCCGCGCCAAACCCGGCATGTTCTTAAGGTTCAAAGAGACGAAAGCAAGCTCGAGGAGCAAGGGGTCAACGAAAAACGCGTCGTACCAATCGCAGAAGCCTTCAACCGTGACGCCGACGAGCTGGCTACAGCGGGAGCCCGCGTACACTCCATGCCACAGGACGTGATCGACGCGGCCAGGTGGAGACATCAGTTCGCGGCCGTCCTTCGCAGCGTTGCGGCTGCCAAATACGAGCGCCGCCACCGCGCCCCCCCGCTCCCAGACAGACGAGCGAGATACTCCAGGTCAGAGCTCCATCGGGCGAAGCCCAGGAGGAGGAGGGGGAGGAGGAGGATGAGAAGGGGGAGGAGGAGGAGGAGGAGGAGGAGGAGGAGGAGGAGGAGGAGGGGGAGGAGGAGGAGGAGGAGGAGGAGGAGGAGGAGGAGGAGGACTCAACGCGGGGGCGGCGGGGGCAAGCCACCAGACCCAAGCGGCGACCCACCCCAATCCCAGTGCCCGCCATGGCCAGGGTATTCATGATGAGCGCGATGATCCATGGGACAGCCCTCCAGACAACCTTTGAAGGTGAAGATGAGGATCCGCTCGGACAGGGCGGGGCCCTCGAAAACGACGATGGCGACGCCCCCCGCGCGCCAGGCTGCCACGACAGCGATGGCCGCGACGCGGACGACGACGGTCCGCCCCCGCGCCCAACCAAGCACGTGACGGCAAAGACCCAGGAGGCGGAGGTCCACCAGGACCCCACCGCACGCGATGCACTGCGACCTGCGCAGCAGAACGCTGACATCGACCACGCGGGAGTCAGTACGGGCACTGTCCCCCCCCCCGACGCAGACAGCCACACCCCAGGCAACGTCGGCGCCAGCAGCGCTATCCACACGGGGGAGGCTCTGCGCTTGGTAGGCGAGGGGTCGCGGACTGGGCCCGGTGGGCCAACGCCGTCGCCCCAACCCACTGGGCTGGCCAGTGCTGAGGCGCCCCCGCCCCCCCCCTACGCAATCACCCGCCCCCCCTGCCATCAGGCATATCCCCCGCCCCACCAGGGAACGGGGACCGACGGCTAAGCGCCCGTTCAGCCCCAGTGCAGCCAACCGACCCGAGAAGCGGCCTCACGCAGCGCCTCGCTTCGGCCAGGCCACATACATCACCCGCAGGATCGTGAAGCCGCGATCACCGCTAGTACCACGGCATTTCACCAACGTGCCTCCAGCTTCGCACTTACGCTGAGTAACATCCGGAAACAGTCCAGACCCCTTCTCGACAGGTTCTCAAAAAGCACAATCCGCCTGGAACGACCCCCAATAAGCCTTCAGCGCACCCGCCCTCCTTGGGGCCACTCCCAGAACGCCTCCATCGGCGACTTGCCGCTCACCGGTAGCGCACCAGTGCTAGCCACCTCTTTCCTTTCATACTTCGTGCCCTGCGTGAGCTCCTGGCAACTACCTCCGTGGTCCCTGCACCGGGCTGCCGGTGGGGGCGCCCACGGCGGTGCCTTCATTTCACTAAGCTCCGTGGCGCGCGTGCCGAAGCGGGCTAGAAGCCGGAGTCTCTTTTCAGCGTCTAGAGTGCAGGCGGGGCGCCAACACCCTGATCCCGCGAGCGTTTCCTGATCCGACTGTTTGCAACAGCGCGTCCTGCGGGGGAGCCTCCACCTGCTCGAAACAGGCGCCCCACAACAGCCAAGATCCACTCCATGAGGGGGAGGGTGGGTGCGAGGGCCCGCGCCGATCGGCCAAACACTTTCTGTAAAAAAACGGTCACCACCACAACCCGCAGACTTGCCCCAGTCGGGGTCCCCTGCTCGACCACGCCGGGGGGGGACTTGTCTCGCCACGCCTGCCATCTGCATGCGGCCCCTCCCGCCAAGGAGGTGCGGGCAAGAGGCGCTGGTACCCTCCGCTCGCGGAGGAACTCTTCGTCCGACTCGTTGCGTTTTTTTTGTCTCTCTCTCTCTCTCTCTTTCTCTCTCCTCGTCGCGGTGTTTCCCTCCTCCTCCTCCTCCTCCTCGTCCTCCTCCTCCTCCTCCTCCTCCTCCTCCTCCTCGTCCTCCTCCTCCTCCTCCTCCTCCTCCTCCTCCTCCTCCTCCTCCTCCTCCTCCTCCTCCCCCCCCTTTCCCTCCCCCTCCTCCTCCTCCTCCTCCTCCTCCCCCTCCCCCTCCTCGCCCTCCCCTTCTCGGGTCGCCTACGGCCCCAGGGGAAACCGTCCAGCTCTCTCTCTCTCTCTCTCTCTTTCTCCTCCTCGCGGTGGTCCCCTTCCGTGTTCTGGTCATAGGATGCCAGGATTCTGAACAGGATGCCCTCTCCAACCGAAGGGCAGTGTGACGAACATGACGTCGGCGCTGGGCTCAGGCTGCGGCAAATCACCGCCAACGCTTTGGGGCGCCTGAGGCCCGTGTACGGGTGCAGGAGACAGCCAGCACCCGGAGATGAGGTCCTCCTCCTCCTCCTCCTGCTCCTCCTCCTCCCCCTCCTCCCCTTCCCCGCCTACTCCTCCTCCAAGTAGCGAGGGGGTTCAAAGATAGGTGCCAGGCGAACCGATTCGCCAAGCACAGAGCGCCCTCCAAGTAATAGGCGAGCCCGTTCAGCGGCAAATGTTCGCCGACGAACTGCTACCCGAGCAAAGCACGCTGATACCGAAATGATGGACAATGGAACTTTCTTTAACCCAATAAGGAACCTAAGCGGAACGCCATTCAGGAACTACTCGCCATGCCAATCCGACCTCAGGCATAGCTCGACACAATCGCCGACTCTCTGGTCGCGCTGCCTGCTCGGCAGAATCACTTAGTTCGGCCCTGCACGGGACGCAAAAATCACCGAGAATCTCTGGCTCGGTTCAAATATGATGGCAGCAGAAAAAGACTGCGGGAGGAAGGATCGGGTCAAATATGATGATCGGTAGTCGGCACTGGGTACCGAGCTGACTGTTTGCACAATGCAAAAAAAACGTGAACCACAACGGCTGGCCCAACAAGAGACCATAATAAACTGGCGGTCAAAGAAACGTAGTCAATGCGCTGCTGGCACTGCGACGCTTTGTGGCACGCAAAGACTGCCCCGCCAAGCGGAGTGTCGGGACTGCTGGCTGACGTCGCGTCACACAACCGAGACTGCCTCGAGCTGACTGTCGGCACTGCTGGCCGGATCGAACTGGCAGCTGGTACTGCTGGCCGGATCGAAGTGGCAGTCGGCACTGCACTGCTGGCACTGCAAGACTTTGTGGCGCACAGCGGTTGGCCCAAGCGGACCGTCGGCACTGCTGGCTGACGGCAAGTTGCACCACTGAGACTGCTCGGTCTGACTGTCGGCACTGCTGGCTGGATCGAGCTGGCAGTCGGCACTGTGGCACTGCGACGGGAATGGTTGCACGGCGGGAGGCGGGGCATGAGGCGAGGAAGATAGGGCTCCGCGGGAGCGCGGGTCTGCAGCCGACGCGGGCGCCGATTACCCACCCACGGCCGCGCATGGGCGCCGCTCACGGAGAGGCAGGAGCACGGGAGGGAGAGGACGAGGAGGAAAAGGAGGCGACCGCACGCCTGGCTGGAATAGGCGGCTCGGGTGGAGGCACGGCGCCAGGCCGGGAAAACCTCCACGCGTCGGCAGCCTGCAAAAACCAGACAATCAGAAATGAAAGTGCGTGTGTCACTCAGCGTGCAAGAATAAAATGCCGCGGAAATTGATAGTGGTGAGCACATCTCCGGTAAAATGCAGTGCAAGAGTGAAACTTATGAATTTATTGAGCTGGCACGTCATGCCCCATACCCTGCCAGCAGTACTACACGCAGGAAGAAGACGTAGACGAGCGGCGCCGACGTGGGCGAAGACATCGACGGAAAAGATTTCACGAGGTCGAGCGGCTCGCCAGGGCAATGCCCGAATTGAAGCCTGTCAAATGCCGCGCAGCACCTCTCGCGGATGGGGCCGGACGCGACCGCCATGGACACTTTCGAAGAGCGGCTCAGCGGGCACGGCTGCGCCATGAGGCAGCGCGACCACTGGCAGCCGCTGTCGAACCTGATCAGGGCTGGGGCTCGTCTGTTACGGGTTTCGACGCCGAGCCTGGAGAATCAGCCCCCGCCTGCGGGGACTCTGGAGCGCCTGGGCGCCGAGCGCCGAGGAAGCCCACAGCACGCAGCCTCGCAGGCCGCCCACTTCCGCACCACCAGCGGGAAGGCCACCTGGCGCGCAGGCATCGCCAGAGAGCCCACGGCCGCGAGGCAGGCCTAGGCCCTACGTGGATGACCGTGGGGGTTATTAAGTGGATAGGGGGGGTACAAATGGATGCCAAGGTGGGTTATATCTGGCCCAACCTGGCTTATAAGTGGGTTACAAGTGCCTTAAGTAGCTTTGGGGGGTGAACGATCCGGGCTAAGTGGGCTCCGCCCATTTCGCGGAGTTACCTCTCCCTGAGCCATTCGGGGCGCTTGTAACCCACTTCTGAGCCAGGTTGGGCCAGATATAAGCCACCTTGGCATCCACGTGTAATCTCCCTATCCACTTAGAAACCCCCACGGTCATCCCAATACCGGCCGACCTGCCTCGTCAGCGACCCCGCGGGCGCCAGACCACCAGCCCCGGGCGACGAGCCTGCCCGCCGCGCGCGGCAACCGGCCGCGGCGAAGGGGGGGCCCACCGCCTCCAGGCCGGCTCCCACGGCGACCTGCCCCCCCGCCGCGCTGGCCGCTGTCCCCTGGCCTCTGGGCGGCCTTCCGCAGCTGCCTGCGCCGCGTCGTGCGGCGCCCGCGTGCGGAGTCTGCGGCCTCGTGAGGCGCCTCGTCTGCGGCTTCGTCCAGGCTGCCGCTGCTGCTGCCGCGATCGGTGGCGGGCCCGGCGCCTCGCGCGGAGCGCGGGGCTCCCGCCGCGGGCCGCCCGCGGCCTGCATGCTGCCGCTGCTGCTGCTGCCGCTGCTGCTGCTGCTGCTGCCGCGGCTGCTGCCGCGCCTGCCGCGGCGGCAGCGGCTCGGAGCGAGAACGCCGACGCACACAGACGATGGGCTCGAGATGGGGACGGGGGCATGTGCAAGAACGTGTTGCGGATCGGAACCGAACGCCACTCGCTTGCCATCGGGCCACGGACGCCCGCGAAAGCGCCAGACGGAAAACGGCGCGGGCTTGACTCCGAACCGCATGAGCCAAAATGGCTACGGATGCTTCTCTCTCTCTCTTGATAGCTTAGACCCCACACGATATCAAGGACCTGATGGCCAGGGCCCTTATGGGCGAGCAGAAATACCGACGATCGAGGCAACACCCAGCACCTAGACCATAGCACGACGTCCAAGGCCCTCTGGGCGACCATAATATTCAACATTCTAAACAAGACCCCATGGATTCCACAGCCTGGACCCTACGGGCGAGTGGAGAGCCTGGCGTTCGTGCCAATACCCTGTGGTTGGGCGGGATCCTACCCAGACCTCCGACCTCGTGTCTTTTCAAGACGTTTCCGCTGGACCTCTCGACAACCTATCAGGGGCATTGTTCCAAGCCGCCTCATTTGTTGATTGCCCTGTAACCTGAAAGCGGCTTCTACACGTCGAACGCTGTGAAGCACCTGTCTTAATTTTTCTAGACGTTTGAACTTGGATATCGGAAGAGCCTGGTACTGGCCGACACCCAATGGCGGGGACCAGAAAGCCCGCCGTTGAGGACCAGTTCCTTCAGATCCACCGGAGACATTCGTAGTACTGGCGCGGGAGATGACTATGATCAAGAGACGACCAGGCGGGAAACTAGATAAGGCACCAGACCACCGTCTGGGCCCAGAAGCGCACCAGGTGCACGAGGGGCGCCAAATAAACAACCATGCAAGGAACCGAGGAGCAGCGAACCCCTTTCCGAGCCCAGAGCGGTCCTCATGTCGGCGTCTGGATGATACTGCCATTATCCGTAGAGAACAGCGCAGGCAGAACCACGGCTGGGCGAGGAGGCCGAACACGGCCAACAACCTCCCGCCGCGCGTCCTGTGTCGCGGCGAGAGGGGGGCTGTTGGTCTTCGGGTCGTACACCGGGTCTCCAGCGGCTGTTTGGGATGATGCGGCATGCCTGGAACGCCCTCGGCAAGGCGCAGCTACTGGAGAGCATACCGTGGGCAAAAACTGGCACACCTTGATAAAGACCACCAATGGCATCCCGCGGCGGCGGCGCCTGGCAGTGCGCGCACTCGGACGGGCACTGCTGGAGCACCGCTCGGTGGCCAGCATTGCACCTTAGGCGTGGGCTCGAACACCCGACGGCCTCCCTGCTCCCTATCCTGTAGCTGCCGCTCCTCCCTCGCGGTCGCTCTTCCTCCCGCTGCCTGGGACGTCCAACGTCATGATTTTCCCGTGGCATGTGCGAGGCGGGGAGATATCCATAACCACCGCCCCAAGGATCGAGCTTCGGGGACAGCGGCGGGCAGTGGATATGGATAGGGTTGGCCCTCCCTGGGCCATAATATACCCAAATGCACCGCCCGCCGAGGCCCCCGAGGCTCGATCCCCCAGGCTGTGGTGGTGGTGGTGGCCCGCTGTAGTCGCGCCGCGCGGGCGCATCGCGGGGTGGCCCTGCAGCGCCAAGAGAACTCACATCTGGATCATCCGAGGATGGACAGACCCCCCTTTAGTAAAACGTGGTTTAGTGAAAACGACCTGAGGCCCAAACCTGGCGGGCGCAAGCCTAGAAAATAACGGCCACGGCGCCATCTCGAGAACCGAAAACGGACAATTCACTAATCGACGTGTCACTGTTGGGGGTTCTGTCCACCCCCGACTGGATCATCAAGGACCGGTGCGCTCTTCCGCGTGCGCTTCCGTGGGCTAACTGCTTCTCCGCCCGGCGCTCCCGGGCGCGCTCGCGTAGCTCAGCGCGTCGCTCGAGCCATCGTGGGCCTGACCATAGCGGGTCTAACCACAGAGTGGGTCTAGCCCACAGGCCGTGGTCATGGATAAAAATCCCCGCCCCGGAGCATGCGGCGCTGGACGCCTCCACGCCAGGAAGAAAACAGGGTAAGCAGGGCACCGGGCCCTGGACCCGGGGGCTCCTTCGACTACAGTCGGGGCGTTGACCTAAGGAACCCTAAATAAGGAACGAGGCCCCTCTTCTCCATAAGTTAAACTTCGATTTCCTCTCGAAAACATAAGGAACACCTGAGGCAAGCTGTGAAACACTTAAGGAACGCGGAGCCCCTCCCCAACCAAAAGGGTTCCTTCTTCAGGGCCCCGACTGTACACGCAGGAGTGACCCTGGGCAAGGGTGGCCGTTGGTGCGCGGCTTTTTGGGGGCCACGGGGGGGCCAAACACAAGCGCCCAAGACGCCACTGCCGCATCGCTCTCGACGGTCGGGGAACCCCAGAGGGCCCGCACCAAAGGTCACTCCGGCGAAGGGTCACTCTTACGTGTACTCATCGGTCGGCAGAAGTAGGCAGAGCCACGAAGTAAGAAGGCGTCGGAAGTAGATTGGGGTTCCGCCCGCCTCCCGAAGAGGAGGGAAGAGGGAAAACCACTCGACTCTTGAAGTAGGAAGGCGGGTAAAATAGATTGGGAACTGGAAATCCAACAATACCTACTTTCAACGACCGATGGGTACGTGTAGTCGACTCTTCCCCAAGCCGAACTCTTCGCACTGAGTCGCTTTCTGCCTGTCCCGGTTTGCTCGGGACCCGTTTGCTTCATGGCGATCATCTCAGGAATCCTTTCGACGGCCCCAAGGCCCAGGGCCCGGAGCGGACCTGCGGAGGGCAGGGCTTCACCTCGAGAACAAAAATGCCCCAGGAAAGCACCGAATTTCAACAGAATGAGGACTCTGACCCACGTCAGCGTCGTCGTCGTCGCCGCCACCACCGTTGTCGTCGTGCCCCTTCAGGGTCGGCGGCACGGGCCGTACGGCCTTCGCAATAGCAACAGAGGCAACGGGGCAAGTCGGGGATAGGGGTGAGAGTAATTACGGCTATGTGCACATTCGTGTCTTTTGCCAACGATGGTGGCCGTCTGGATCAGAAATGTGGCAGGCATTGAGGCGAGAGCAAGGTTCCTGCATAAAGAAAGAGGCAGTCTCGGGTGAACCGGGCGACCTAGGGCTCCCTGGTTCCCCCCTTATGGGGCTTCTGTTGTGCTCTTCTGTGAACCCCACTTACACGCGACCAGAACCCTCTACAGTCAACCCGCATCACCAGGATGCACGATGAGGATGCCAGGGCCTTGGAAGGCCATGTCGACACTCTTTGAGCGGGGCGCGCCAGCGAAAGTGGCCAGGAATGGGCCGAAGGGGAAGGATGCAAGGGTATACTTGGGAAGGGCGCTCACCCCTACTATACGCGTGGACTGTACCGAAACGCTACGCATTTGGGAACAAAACACATCGGCCCGGCTTTGCCGAATCACCGGGTGGGCGGCCTGCTGGCTGCCGATGCTCCTCACTCTTCGGTGAGGGCATTGGACAGGGAGCCACTTATTGAGGAACAAAGAGTCTGGAAGCCAGTGGAACGCCAAGTGAGGCTTGGCCATGGATGCCACCGCCTCCCTCGTCAGATAAGGAATCCTCCAGGGTCTGAAGCCTCCAGGGCAGTCTTTAACGAACGCCCCCACCGTGACCTAGCTGGTGCCGCAGGCTGGCAACAAGGGGATCGGTTTTCGAAGCCACTCTCACTGCCCAGGCTGCCACACTCACTTCGACGTCGACGACAACGACCTTGACCTCGACCTCAAGCTCGACGACGACGACGACGACGACACCAACGACAAGGATCCCCTCGACGACCTTGGCGACGACGGCGGCGGCGGCGACGATGACGGCGACGGCGACGGCGACGACGTCAACAGCGACGACAATGTTGACGGGGACGGCAGCGACGACGATGAAGGCGAATGCGAGCCTCGAAAACGACGACGACCCAGAGGACCCAGACGACGACGACCCAGACCAAGACGACGGCACCGAGCACGACAACGACGACGAAGGCGACGATGCAGGCCTCGAAAACGACGACGACCCAGACGACGACGACGACGACGACGGTGACGACCCAGACAACAACGACGACGACCTAGAGCGACGACCATTAAGGTCCCCGCGACTACGACCTGGACGATGACGATGAATGCCCCGACGTTGACGACGACGACGGAGACCTGGACGACGACGGCCTTGGCCACTCACGCAGACTGTCAGCTAATGTGGCCAGGAGAGAGAACAAGGATTCTCCCTCCTCTTATCGGGAGAATTTGATAGCACCAACTGCACGAATCAGTGGAGATATGCCTGTCTGTGACAAGCACATCTCCACGTGGCGGTCAGCACAAAGGAGGTGTGGCTAAGGAGGGCCATGCTGTGTGCCTTCACTCCGCGATCCGATGGCTACGCCCTCCCCCTCCCCCTATCCCCCTCCCCCTCCTCCTCCTCCTCCTCCTCCTCCTCCTCCTCCTCCTCCTCCTTCTCCTCCTCCTCCTCCTCCCTCCCTCCCTCCCCCCTGGGCGGCGTGCACGAGGAGATGGCGCGAGAGGAATGGCCTTCTGAGAGGGGGGCGGGCTCCTGGGAAGCAGCATGGCTTCCTGGAAGCCCCCCCCCCTGCTTCTGAGAGGCCTTCCCGGACGCGCCCAGGCGCTTCTGAGAGGGCTCCTGCCCTCGAAGGCGCCCCCCGCCCACTTCAAGGCCACCCCCCTCGCGCCACCCCGTGGTGCCCGCCGCCGATCCCACCCCTCCCCCATTTTTTGTCGAGGCGCTGATCGACCGCCTCGATCCCGATCGGTCGTCGGATCGGCGGATGGGTGGCCGCATCGGATCGGATCGGGGGACCGAGGTGCCCAGAGGCCCAGAGACTGCCAGTCGGAGTGATGGAGGAAATCAAAAGTTGAGCGAGAAAGAGGAAGCATCGGAAGAATAAACAAGAGCCGAGGGGCCAGGAGGAAGAACAGGCGGAAGAGTAGGAGAGAGGAGCAGGAGGATACGGGCGGAGGACGAGGATCGCGAGCAGCATGAGGAAGGATGATGCGGGGAACGAGGGCGAAAAGTAGGAGGAGGTGAAATAGTGTAGGAGCAGGAGCGGCAGGTGCAATGGGCAATGAGCGAGGAACGAGGAGCGAAGAATCTGATAGTAACGTATAGACAGGAGGAGGAGGAACATGATAAGTTGGTGGAGCAGGATCAGAGGGACGAGAACGACGAGGCTGACGATGATAGTAGAGGACGAGGGCGAGGATGAG